GTAGTTTCTAAATGTCAAATATTGTATTAAAGTCTTTGATCCATTGTGGGTTCATTTGGTACAAGTTGGGAACACATGATTTAGTTTCAGTCTTCTACCTGTAGATACCCAGTCTCTTCAGCAACTGGAATTAAAGGGGTTGTATTTTTTCTAATTTATGGTTTTAGTACCTTTGTCCACATCAGAGTGCCAGCAGCTAGGTGTATCAGTTTTAGGATCATCTCTTCTTATCTTTTATTCCATTGTCCTATGAGTATTTTGCCAATGTTGCTTTTGTTGCTGGCTATCGAGTACAGTTTGGGACATGCTATTATGATACCTCTAGCGTTATTTATATTTCTCAGGATGTCTTTAACTATTGGAGGTCTTTGATGGTTCCTTATGAATTTTATAATTTTCTATATTTCTGTAATGAATATTATTGGGATTTTGGTGCAAATCACACTAATTTTTGTGATGTGATAATTTTAACAATGTTTATCATACTAATATATTTCATATTTAGATATATTCTACACTTTATCTTTATATACATTATAATTTTATTATAGAAATTTATATTCCCATTGGTTGCCATCTATATTGTGTTGTCTAAGTCTCTGGGAGTAGGAAAACAACAGGCAGAAAGAATTTAAGAACTGAAAGGAAGGAGAGGAATGTTGTATACTTATTTTTTCTCTTAGCTGAAATATTTTCTTCTGGAGGGAAAGAGTAGACTCTTAAGATTTAGGAAATGAAAAAAAAAGCATAAAGGACTGAGGATATCCTTAAAGAAACAAATTCCTCAAAGCTCCTCCCCAAGGGGAGATGAGCAGTCATAATGTTTCCAGGGGGGGCACTCTCTGGTTGTTCCAGCTGCCTGAGAATTCTGGAGCTTCATGACTTATTTTGAGTACTGGGTTGTGTTTCACTGTGATTCTGTGATGCCCTGGAGTCATTCATACTCCCGTACAGAACCCTGATAAACTCTGGTAAACACTGGTTCACTACATCAAACTTGAGTGGAATCATTTCATGGTCTATTGCTAGTACACTATATAGAATATACAGACATTTGTTGATATCTCTTAAGGGGATGTTGTACGAGTGTAGCTGAGGTAAACATGAGATGGCAGACAGTGAGCCTGGCTTATCATTTAATTCCTATATGGACTAGAGTGGTAATGAATAGACAGCAAAGTACTTTCTTACTTCAGGATCTGGAAAGGATCTAATACAATCTGTGTGAAGACAAACTTAATCGAGAAACTCAAGACAGTCTGGGAAGGCTACATCTGATATGTAAATACTTTACTAGGAGAGACACTGTTACCTCTGATGCTCTTATCTCTGAAATCACCATAGGAGACAATGCAGATGGTAATCAGCTACAGTCATTACACACTGTGCAGATGCTTTAAAGTACCAAGTTTTCCATGCCAAATACAATTGTCAATGTAAAAGTAAGGTTTTTATATCAAACACTTATATATAGATTTATATATAGTATAAACATCTTTTTTTTATTAAATTATAAAAGTTTCCATTTCAGCCCCTCCTCCCAACACCCTCCCACTCCCCCCACTCCCTCTCCTCCTCCCTCTCCATCCCCTAGAGCAGTCAGGGTTTCCTGCCCTGTGGGAAGTTCAAGTTCCTCCCCCCTCCCTCCAGGTCCAGGAAAGGTGAGAGTCCAAACAGACTGGAGCGCCAAAATCCAGTATATGCAGAGGAAGCAAGTCCCAGTGTCATTGACAATGGCTTTTCAAAAAGGCTCCGGGCCAGCCACATTCAGAGAATCTGGTTGGATCACGACCTCGTTCAGTCCCAGTCCAACAGGCCTTGGTGAACTCTCATTATATCAGTTCCCTTGTATCAGTGGGTGCTCGCATCCCTCGCAGTCCTGGTTACTTTTTTTATTTTCTTCATCTTTCTGTTCCTCATTTGGACCGTGGAGTGCTCAGTTCGGTGTTCCAATATGGGTCTCCATCTGTATCGTCATCCAACGTCGGATGAAGGTTTCCTCTGCATCTTATGTGGAAACAAGTGGGAACTAAGAGACCTGCCCTTTTTCAATCTACATTTTAATAAGAGTAGAGAGCCATAATATATTTTACACATACATACATACACACACACATGGGGAGAGGGAGAGAGATGATAAATATATTACATATATATGAATTGATCTTTTATTGTGTGTACCAAATTAACTAACATATGCGTTCACATCCAGAAATGTATTTCTGATAAACTGCTGTCATGAGAATGTTATATTCCTGAATTTATTTACATTTTAATTACACCTCAAAACTCAAGACATATGTCATTAATCAAAGTAGTTGAAAGCTTCTTTGAGCTTTAAAAGATGTTCCAGTGGTTTAGCAACAGTATGTCTCAGGGAATGTAAATACAGATAATTAGAAGAGGAGAAACTAGAATAGGTCTGTGGTATATTTCCTGAATTTGGATAAGTTTTTTTTCACCATCAGCAAGATTGATAGTAGTTAATTTTTACATTCTTTAAAATACATTGTATGTATGATGTGTTTCATTTAAAGAATACCGATTATACACTGATTTCTTTTCAGATTATATATTATATTCTTTCTTTTTTAAAGGAATGTATACTTGTACACACAGAGAGAGGGGGAGAGAAAGGGCGATAAAGAGAGGGAGAGGGGGAGAGAGAGAGGGGAGAGAGAGATTGAAAGCAGAGGGGTATTTTTTGACAGAGAAAGGAGACTGGAAAGAAGAAAGAGAAGACAAGAAGGAAAATGGAGAGAAATGTGAACAAAGTACAATAAATATATTTATAAAAAGAAAAATCCAATAAACTTATCCTTATTAAAATACTCAAAACAAAGAACTATACCATAGAAAATACATATTTCAACACCTTATTTCTTTTGATTTATGGATATCAATTAGAAGACATAATTTTAAATATATATCTTAACAAATGAGGTAAAAGAATGATACTTACTTTAATATTCCATTTACTGGCTGTATTGTCTCCAACCACAGGGTCAGCTCTAGTATGCTTTCCAGGTGAGGGTCATACCTATGATGAGGGGTGGGGCCATCTTTCCTGAGTGGGGGGTAGGGTTAGCTCAACTGCTGTAATATCCAGCGAGAGGTAGGACCAGCCATCCCAGGGACAATGAAGGGTGGGACAGACTCAGGACAGCATGGTTCCAATGATTCGATGATACCATTAGCCACAGATACCAACACAGACTGTAGGCACAGTAGAACCTTGGGTCCAATTACCACATGGCCCCAGTGCCATCACAGGCCCCTCAGATCTGCACGCCCCACCAGCAGCATGACCTCGGGCATCAACATGGTCCCAGGTGGCCAACAAGATGGTCCTATTACACCAAAATGAACCCTGGTCATCTGTCTGGCCTTCAGTGACAACAGAAGCCCTGACAGCAGCTCAGCCTTTGACTACTGAGCTGACATCAGCTCAGACCCAGGCATGGCCCTCTGTAGCAGCCCAAGCCTGGACAGCACTATTTTCCCAGGTAACAGCATAGGCCACTCAGGTCAGGATGTCCCTAGTGACAGCATGGACCACAACTGCCCACGTGGTCATAGAATGTGGTCCAGAATCTGGGCATTTTGGGGACCTTTGATGGCAACATGGGCCACAGAGATCAATTCAGACCCTGGCTGTGGTAGTTCCATAGACCCAGGCATGGTCACAGACAGCAGCCCAGACCCAGTCATCACCATAGCTCCAGGTGGCAGCACAGATCACCTGGTCTGGCATGCCCTCCCCACTGTTTTAGAATATTATTTTAATGTATGTTGCTTTTGTTTTATATTGCATTTGTTTAACTCTGTGAAGCTGTGATTCTTTGCCTGTCTAGAAGACCTGATAGTCCTAATGAGGAGCCGAATGACCGATAGGTGGGGCTGGCAGATAGAGAGCATAAATAGAAGGAGCAGCCAGAGAACAAAGGGGAGATGGACATCGGGGTCCAACCACCCAGCCCCCCCTGCCAGTCAAGGAGTAGGAGTGAAGTAAGATACACAGAAGAAAGAAAAGGAAAAGCATTGAAGACAAAAGGTAATCAAGATAAGTAGTTAAGAAAGGCTGGCAAGAAACAAGCCAAGTGAAGATTGAGCATTCGTACGTCAGAATAAGCCTCCATGTGAGTGATTTATTTGGGAGCTCTGTGGTGGGCCCCCAAAAAGATTAAAAAAATCCAAAAGACCAAAAACGTCAAACAACAACTACATTTTGGCATACCAACATGGTCTGATATTTCCATGTAGGACATGAGAATGTTAAAAACAAAAGTATATGACTCCTTTAAGAGTTTACACCTGCTGGTGAGCCCTTGAGCAGCCAGGAAATTAAGTAAAAACAACAACAGCAGCAACAACAAAGAGTAAAAATGACTGCCACAAGGCAAGCATTGGCATTCTAGAGCTCCAGGAAGGTAGATTTAGGTCCTGGTCCAGTCCCACCGACCTGGCTGCTAGCTTTAGGCTTGGCTTTCGTGACTCGACCCAAGAGTGGGGGGAAACCAGTCTATAGAGCACAAGGAGGATCAGGTGTAGCTTAGCAGTCTAAAGTTCACTGTGTGATCAAAAAAAGACTAAAAGGTATGTATTAAAAGAGGTCCAGATGGAAAAAAAAAAAAACCTCTGAATAGATTCCACTCTGTTTTGCAAAGTACATAGGCTTAAGAAAGAAAAGGGTAAAGGCAGTCATAGGAAGAAATAGATTAAAAATAGTAAGTAAAGTATTTAAAGAGATAGTAAAACAAAAAAGATGGGAAGCACAAAGGGAGTCTGGATCCTGTGTAGTATTGTGATGATTTTGAATTTTTTGATTGCTGAAAAGCAAAAGGCAGCTGCTAAGAGACCTGAAATCGAAATAGGGACTGTGACAATAAACCAGTCTAGATATTTTAGGAATGCTTTAATTTAAAAAAGTCAAAAAAATGTATTTGTCAAACGGAAATAAAAAATGCTTTGGATAAGTGGTTTTGCTTTTGTTTCCACAGGAAACAAGAGGATATGGCTTTGTTCCAGGGTGATATGGATCTAGTTTGATCAAGGGAGACCTCCTGAAACTTGACACATGTTATTATTCAACCAGAAGCAGTCGAGAGAAAATGATGTCCATATTGCCAAGGTGTGGGAAGCTTTTGGTTAACTGGTGGGTCATGGATGTTTCTTAGACTTAAGGGAATATAGGAGTATAGGAGTGATAAGATGAAAGGGTAGACTGTTGAATCTACTAACTAAAAGCAACTATTAATTTCAAATATTTTGCATTGGGATGGTCTTTCATTTATTGATACAAATTTAAGACAATTTTTATTACAACACACTGCACATATATTTCTACTCTTGTTTAAGGCATTGTACGTATGCAGTTTATTTAAAAATGTATGATAAAATTCTAATTTTTGAAAGTTATTATTAAGGACTAGTTAGAATAATCAAGAAACATAGGTCAATAATTAATCATATATAACAACCAAATTTGTAAGTATGTTACATATGTTTTTGAGATCACACACATATATTTATATCTACATATATATGATAGATAAAATGTTTTTAAAAACTTCAGAGATCTATAGAATATGGAAATTGGCAAAAATGAGTAAATTTTGGAGTCATTAGGACCTTCAGTCTTCCCACAAATGCAAAGAAGTACATAAATATCTATATAATGATTCTATGAGAAAATTTTATGATGGCAAGGGAATATTATTTTTTACTATTATTTCCATTATAAAGATGATAAACCTGAGAGTAAGGAAGAGCATGAAAGTGTTGTTTCAGTCACTCCATCACGTGTATTGAATTGGTAAGTTTTCTACCCATTAATTTTGACAGTTTTAGCACACTTCATTGGCTATCTAATACAAAGAGCATTTGGCTGTACACAGTTTTCATGAAGACTGTAATGCTTTTTATCCCCATTCAAATGAATGTACCATAGGTGGTTTTCAAGAATGGTAATATCTTCAGGCGGTGTAACATTAAAACTTGCATAAATCAAAATTCTAAAATATGTCCACAAACTTTCTTTTGGCATGAAAAGTTTTATTTGGCAAGTCATAAATTATAGCTACATCCCAGATCTGATGTCCAGTGTAGATCTGTTTGTCACCTCATGACCTAAACATTTTCCTCTATGTTCTAATTAATAACAGCTGCCTGGGTCACTGTTTTTCCATACTCATGAGAAGTAATCTTCTTCATTTAATGAAGAACTTCGTGTTGTCTTGGATTTGCTCCAATTCTATAATGTATTCATTTGGAAAAAGTAATCAAAGAATTTTAAAAAAATGCTGTTGTGTACTGTTAGACTTGTCTCCATTTGGGTCTTTTTGCAGCTTTAATTGGCAGATATTAACATAGAGTTTTGGTTAGAACATGGGAATGAAATGACAATGTTTGCATCAAGTTATAGGATGTTATTTACAAAATTTTTCATAGCAAAAGTAAAAATTTTATACATGAATTTTAATATATTCGAGGCACAGAGACAGTTTAAAGTCATTTGTGTACAGATTGCTTATTTACAAAGGTTGTTCAGGTAGTCCCCACAATAATTTTATTAGTGGGTTTTATGATAACATTTTAACAAACATTCACTTCTCCTTGATCATCTTCTCTCACTCCTCCCTCACAACTGTCACACTGTTCCAATTCTGTTTACATATCATTATTCTGTGACTCTGCCTCTTCTTTAAGGTCTATTCTCATGGTTCTCTGATGTGGGAGTCCCCTCTGTGTGCTGTGATTACCATTAATGAATAAAGAAACTATTTGGACCTATAGCAAGACAGAATGTAGGTAGTCAGGGAAAGCTAGGCTGAATGCTGGGAGAAAGAAGGGCGGAGTCAGAGAGAAGTGATGGCGCTCCTGGAGACAGAAGCTGGGAACTTTAGCCCATAAACCACTGTCACATGGTGATACACAGATTAATGGAAATGGGTTAAATTAATTTGTGAAAGATTAGCCAATAAGAAACAAGAGCCAATGGGCCAAGCAGTGATTTAATTAATACAGTTTCTGTGTGATTATTTTGGGTTTAAGCTAACCGTGCAGCTGGGAACCAACAAGCAACATCCCTCCAACAGTCCTCTTTCTAGTTTTACAATACACTTACTCAAACACCCGTGCACACACACACATGCACACGTGCACACTTGCTTGTACACATCTTACATCTGTTGATGGGTTACTGGACTAATTTCTCTAATAGCTGCTATGAATAGTGCAGCCAGAAACAAGAATTCACAGTATTTTTGTAAGAATTTGAGTATTTCCATCTATCGATGAGAGAGATAAAATTTGATAATCCTGTTTTCAGTGCTTTGATTTACATTTTGGCCACACCATTTCACATTCCCACCAGCGGTGTACAGTTATTTCCATTTCTCTGCAGCCTCATCAGCATTTAGTATCTTGATATTAGCTTGGGTTTTGACGTGGGTGAGATAGAACCTCAGGACAGTTATTTTTTGCATTTGTTTAATTATTAAAGAATATAACAAAAAGTTCCAACTCACAAGTATTTCTGTCATGAGTCACTCAGTGATTGATTGTCACTGGATATCATGTTTACATGACAAGAAATTTGCAACTATACCCAGCATGTCAGATATTGTTTAGTTCCTTGCTCAAGTCTGATGTTTTGTTTCATCTTGATCTCTTTCTGACAGTAGCTATATGGTTCTCTCTCTAGTATTTTGCATGTCCCAGATCCCAGGATCCCACACTATTTTGAATGTTCCAAGTCTCTGCAGACTCCTCTTGGCTGTTATTTTTCTAATACTTTTCGTCTCTTTTGATGGCCTCAATGATTACAAAGAATGTGATTCTTTGTATCATAGAGGAATTTTCATTTATATTTTGTCAGGAATACACAAGGGCAATGGCTTTTAGATGGATAAAACAGAGTACAATTTTCCCCACCACCTATTAGATTTTATATTATAGGCCACCAAAGGTCCCATTATTGCTCCTGCCCATCTTCATCTGAGCTGCTTGTCAGGTTTGACCTCATCAGCGTTCTCCTTCTTGTAGATTTTCATTTTTTGTAGGTATTCCCTAACTGTAGCTCATATCTTAGAAGTGGAGAGCTACATATCACCTATTGAGAAGGGAAGATTCATATACATTGTTTTGTGTCAGCAATAACTCCCCAGAATGTTACAGCACTATAATAAGTAAAAGGGTATTGGGTCCCAAATGAGAAGAAACTTATCTTAGTTTTAATTATAAATAAAATTATAGCCCTCAAGATGGCTGGGACTATAAGCTTTTCAATATATTAGCAAAATTTATTTAATTTTATATATTGTTATCGTTATGAAAAATTAAAATTATCTCAAAATATACTCAAGAAATATTTAAAATGCATCATAAGAAATCCACTACAAAATGTAATACTTGGTACATAACTTTGGTTTTTCCTTAAGTTACCAATATTGTACTTTTAATTTTGTAATGATTTTTTAAAAATTTTCAACAAAATTGTTATTTAGGATTGAACTTAGAATCTCAATTCTAATTTTGTAATGAATTGATGTATCAGAAATAAACTTTAAATTTTATACCACGAAAATATTATAGTCTATCAACTTGATGAGTGACTTCAAAGTTACCAGTATTTCTTTAGCATAAAAAGAAACAACTGCATATCTTTTCAGGGAAGAGTCTTTTTCACTGAATAATTTTCAATTAATGAATAAATTATTTTCACAAATAAATGGTCTTAGGATTTTATTTTCCTCTTACTTAGTGTTAAATATATTATTTTTCATACATTTATGTAAATAATCATGATGAAACACAAAATAACTGCATGAACTTTTTGATCTCAATAATGTTAATGATGGTGAAAATTAGAATTTCTTAAAGACTTGTTAAGAAATCACTTTGGATAATTTCTTCTACTGGGATACTATGTAGATCTTCACTATATGCAGCACCAGCTATTCACAGAAAGCCTAAATGATGTGGGATTCCCCTCTGTATGCTGGGAATACCATTGGTTAATAAAGAAACAGCTTTGGACCTATAGCAGGGCAAAACGGGTAGGTGGGGAAAACTAAACTGAATGCTTGGAAAAAGAAGGCAGAGTCAGTGAGAAACCATGTAGCTCTGCTGGAGACAGATGCTGGTACTTTACCCAATAAACCACAGCCTTGTGGAGATACAGAGATTAATGGAGATGGGTTAATTGAGGATATGAATTAGCCAGAAATATGCTTAAGCTATTAGCCAAACAATATTTCAAGTAATATAGTTTTGGTGTGATTATTTCACATCTGAGCAGTTGAGAAATAAACTAGCAGTCTGTTACAACACATAAACATTGACAAGAAATCATAAAGGCAAATATTAAGGTATAATAGACATTTTTTGAAATATAGTGTGAAAGTACAGGAAAACAGTCTTTTAACTTATGCATGGATTAATATATTTTAAAATAACTTTGTTCACCTTTTTCCTATTGATTTAGCTGTATTTTTTTAAAAAATATATTACACAAACAGTATATTCATCATAAAACTTTTAAATGTGATTATTAAAAATATTGACATTGTAGTTCCACGGTAGGCAGAAAGGACATTACAGTACAAGGATGTGCAACAATTAGAATATGAATATGAATATGAAGCTAAATGGAAAAGCTGGAGCTGAAAAAAAAATGATTGGGCTGTCCTGCATTAAAGTAAGAGCCAAAAGCCATAGCCTTTGAATGACTCATTCAAAGGTGATATCATGATGAAATTTGCACTTTACAAAGATCTCAATAAACAATGGTAAGAATATTATGATCATAACTTATTTCCAAGATATAAACAAATAAAGTTAGACTCAGATTTCAGTTCATAAGTATGAAATGTAGTAAGTGGAAAGAGACGTAATATAGAAACTTCAGACAGATGGAGGGAGACAAAAGTATTCAGTGCATAATGTGACTTCTGTGACTACTACACATATAGAGATACACACACAAGTATACACACACACACCAAAATCTCATGCAAACATGTACATAAACTTTTTGAAATAATAAATAAGGTTGTCATTGGGAAGATGAGCATTTCTGGTCAAGAGTTTATTTTAAAGAATGCAGCTGGTATAGTACCCTTCATTATTGTACCTACCATAGTTGACTGAAAAAAAGTTGTGGGTATGATGTAAGCTTCAAGGAACCAGAAAAGCACTGGACTCAGGCCTATTATGGTACAGATGTCATTGAGAGTACTGCCACAAACCCCACCTTACATGCTCACTCTTATCACCAAGACTTGTAGAGACCAAGGTGGTGAGAGAACATACGGT